ATGAAAGGTGAATCCTCAAAACGTTAAATATTTCACGTGAACTTTCAGTTTGCTCGTAGATGTTCTTTTTTATATGTAAATTGTGTAAGTTTCCATAAAAATTTTTAAGCATCAAGCGATGTGGTTTAAATGTGAAAAATAATGTAATACTACGCTCGCATATTATGTACAAAATGAGTAGAATTTCTTATAGTGACTTTAATTTTTATGGTTATGCGACAATTGGCATTTCACATAAGAATCCTACGTCCATTAAAAATGAATAACGAAAGCCAATTGAAGCGTGATGACGTATAGGCAGTAAAAGCATATTTGTGTTATATTGCATCCCACATAGAACAAAACTTCCATTAGACGTCCATAGATCATCCATAGCTCCATCAGACATCCATCTCCACAGTGGACGACAAGTGGACCTCTAATGGATGTCCATAATTCATCGATGATGGATATCCATATAACATCCATCGTGGACGTCCATTGTACATCTATTATGGATGTGCAATAGATTTTTACGTTTAACTTTTTATTGAATTTTAGAACGATTTCTATTGCATTATAGCTTTCCAAGTAGAACATAAGAATCAAAATGATATCAATTTGACGTCATTTTGACTAAACATTGAACAAATTGATGTCAATTATCAGCCAAAAAAATATTAAATTAATATAATTTTGATTATGTATTACTTGGTCTATTCCTAACAATATAAAAGATGATTGTAAATAAAATATATATTAAATAGTGAACTTTTTTATTTTTATTGCAACATTGACATAAAATAGATCCTTCACAATACCGATATTATTTTAACATCAATGTCATGAAATTGTCATGAAAATGGTATCGCTTAAAGTCAAAATAATATTACTTTTATATCATTTGACGTCCTTTGATTTTTATATGACTTTGTGTACTACCTGCCCTACTGAAAAAATCCAGCTGAGATCTCAATTGAGAACTCAATTACAGAGTAATTACTCTGTCAAAATATTGCAAGAGAGAAAAAAAAGAATATTCTTTCTCTTTTGCGAACACGTTATATGTTAAAGTTTGATTACTTATACAACATTGTATCAATATTAATCGCATTATGATTGTTATTACGTCCTTTGAAACATTTATCGATAAATGCGTCATTATATTATATTTTTTAACACTATAAGAATATATTGTGAATACAATCCACTAAGATATTGTTACAGCGCAATGGTATCACCAGTTCCCGACGATCGTTAAGGTTAAGAATTGAAGAACATAGTCATCTAAAGATGGTGACTGTCTGACACATGGATCAAATCCATGTGAATCTCACGAATAAATAAAACGACACAAAATATGAAATGCCAGTTTTTTTGTTATTTAGATAAAATAATATTTCATTTTTCATTGAGTGAAATTATGTAATATTACTGAGATATTGCAATATTACTGTGATATTGTGTAATATTATTAGAACGTCCATTGGAAGTTCAATGGAGGTCGAAGATGCGGACATTTGGATGTTGAGTGGAGGGGGAGCGTCCCAGATGCGCACATTGACACAGCCAACCACAACGTCATATGCCTAGAAATATTCTAGAGACTCTATAAACAACGACATATGATTGGATGTGTTCGTTTGTTAATATGCGCATCTGGAACTCACTCGATAAAAAGAAAGGGAGAGTACTCGAGTGACGTTTCCTAGATCGCGTTCGGAAATATCACTCGAGTACTCTCCCTCTTTTTTATCTCACTCTTGTATTTCGCTCACTCCAACGACTATCGTCTAGTAATGTGCACACAGTGTGTATTTCCGAACGCAGCCCTAACGCAGCCTAGTGCAGTGCCAAGATGGCTGCCATTCATGACGTCATTGATGGAACTAGATACTGTTACAATGCACTGTATTTTTAAAACGGAACAAATTTGCAATACTGCCAACACTGCCAGCAAAAACGGAACACGGCCATAGGCTTGGTTTACATCGTGCATTTGATACGTGTATTAAATAGTAACTTTATTCTATTAGATAATCTTAATATCGTCAATGCATATCAACAGGGATACATTCTATCAATACAATACGCTTTGTTGATAAGTATTATACCAGCTTAATATACCGTTGTTTATATATATCATCGATATTAAGATTATTTAATAGAATAAAGTTACTATTTAATACGCATATCAAGTGCACGATGTAAACCAAGCCATAATCAAAGGTATCAAGTGCACGATGTAAACCAAGCCATTAACGTTACTCTTATGGCTCCTGCACACAGGACGCGATAATGCTTGCCGCGCGGCGGAAGTCCGCGCGACAGCCAATCAATATGTTGATTTTCCGTAAGAGCCAGAAGGTTATTATGGAAAGCAGCATATTGATTGGCTGTCGCACAAACTTCCGCCGCGCGGAAAGCATTACCGCTGTGTGTAGGAGCCATTACGCTGAGTGCCCACTGCGCCCGATTAAACCTATGGTAGTGGGATAAGGCTGAGTTCCCACTGAGCGCGTCACGCGTCGCGTCGTCTGCCTGCGTCACGAGTTAACCAATCAAATCCTCTAATTGGAAAGACGCGACGCACTTGTTCCAATGGGACGATTTGATTGGTTAACTCGTGACGCAGGCAGACGACGCGACACGTGACGCGCTCAGTGGAAACTCAGCTTTATCCCACTACCATAGGTTCAATCGGGTCGACCGAGTTTTGGACAGAAAGAAACCTGAAAGCGGCCACGCCATACGTTTTGGCCGACACCGATTTTCACGCTGATCGATGCGCCATTTGCACCCATTTTTTAGGTGGAACTACGTTCTCTACACCCATTTTCAAACGCTGCCGGTAAAGTGTCGATTTGTTGCGTGTCCATTTTATGCCCATTTTCTGGCGATTCGTGTCCGTGTTAAGCGCATAATTGCGTGACTGAAAACATGGACTGTCCATGTTCTTAACAATTATGCGCTTAACACGGACACAAATCGCCAGAAATGGGCATGGAATGGATACGCAACAAATTGATACTTCTGGCAGCGTCTGAAAATTGGCATAGGAAACGTAGTTTCACCTCAAAAATGGGTGCAGATGGCGCATCGAACAGCGTGAAAATCGGTGTCGGCCAAAACGTATGGCATGGCCGCTCTCAGGTTTTTTTCTAGTTTTGGAACAGTCCAGTATAGCTAAAAAGAACAGATCATAAGTTAAAGATCCGACCTAATTGTTACGACTGTAGATCCTTACAAAACTACAACCTACCCTGCTCTTACATCGCCTATCCCCTCTCACATCGCACGAAACGAGTCTCTTGGGAGCTCATTTGACTCCTTGGAGCCAGAAATTCAGATAAAAACTCGATCATGGTCTACCTTGTATCCATACAAGGATTTCATCCCAAACATTGAATCTAAAAGACTTGAAGGCCATTTGTCCTTCCTGCTAAATACGAAATTTAACAACTTCAATATTGATACCACATCTTTCAAAAACATTAGTAAATACAGAAGAAGAGTGGGAAATTTTTATTATTCTGGCTCAAAAAAGATCTCGATAACCGGTATAAATAAGATTTTTAACTCTATCTTGAAAGAGCAGGATTTTGACTGCATACTCTATACGGATGGCTCTATAAATACAGAGGGGCACGCTGGATTTGGAGTTTTCTGTACCAACCCAGATATCAAATTATCGCTTCCATATACAAGAACCAAAATTATCTTAAATGTCGAGGCGCAAGCAATTGTTGAAACTCTGAACATTATACCCAAATTAAAGAAACGCAAGATCGCTATATGTACAGACTCTTTGTGCGCTTTTTCCTCCTTAAGGAATTTATCAAACAAGAAAAAGCCCATCTATCCAATCTTAGTGATTGCCGATTTGCTGGGAAAGCTTAAATCTATGAACATTGATATTACTCTAATCTGGACTTCAGCGCACATAGGAATCTCTGGTAATGAAGCAGCCGACCAATTAGCAAAATCTGCCACAAATCGCGACAGAATCGTTCCCAGCAAGACTATATATATCGATGATTTCATTTCAAGCTTGAAAAGCGATTTCATGAGGTTATCTCATAAAGTACTAAATAAACAATTTAAGTGGAATTTAAGGTATCAGATACCGTCAGAAAGTTGCGAATCTAGCCAATAAACCATGGTTCAGCGACCTCAAATTTGTCAAGCGTGATGTTATTTCGTTGATGGCAAAGTTACGATCATACCACATACGTACGAACACTCACCTAAGGGTGCGTTCAGATTCCTCATCCGGGTGCACTCTATTACTAGAAACACTATAGTATATGTGACATATACTATAGCACTTCTAGTAATAGAATACACCCGGGTGGGGAATCTGAACGCAGCCTAAAGGATAAGAACATTATAAGAGAGGATACGTGCCAATGCGGAACCAGACAGAATGATATATATCACGTTCTATTTAAATGCCCTCTACATTCTGATGAATCGGACAAGTTAATTACAGAGATATATAGCATTGGATACACCACTCAAGATGATGTACACAAACTCTCCTTTGATGCGGGGAATATAAAACTTTATAGCACTATCTCCAAGTTTCTATTCAACATAGGTTACACCATTTGAAAGTGCACCTTGCTCACATTCTAGGCTGCGTTCAGATTCCCCACCCGGGTGTATTCTATTACTAGAAGTGCTATAGTATATGTCACATATATTATAGTGTTTCTAGTAATAGAGTGCACCCGGATGAGGAATCTGAACGCATCCCTACATACGTGGTTTGTTCTTTTGCTCTGCACTGCTGCACTGGTGCAATAAGTTAGAGAGAGGTTGCGTTCCGTTTCACGCATTATGCGCGCATTGTCTACAATATACGTAACATGAACTATAGATAAATGCGCGCATATGCGTGAAACGGAACGCAACCAGAGACAAATATATATTTGTCTCACTCTAACTTATTGCACTAGTGCAGCAGTGCAGAGCGAAAGAACAGACCAACGATGGAAGCACTGTTCGGAGTAATGGCGTAGAGGCACTCACAGTTAAAGTGTGCTCAGCCAAGCATTGAAACTGAAACTAATTGTTACGACTAGACGTGTCCGAACAAGTTCGAATCTAATATTTTTTTGGAACTTGTACTTCGGTTAGTAGAAAGAGCTATTTGAGAAAGTCTGCAAGCTAAGTAAAATATAGTGAAGAAGATCATAGGTTAAATAAGGTTATCTCAGAAAACACGCAACTTTCCCTTGCGTAATATACTACAATATACATTTTTATTTTGATAGATTCTGCTAAAAAATTATATTAGACTTGTGTTTATCCACGTAATTTTGCCTTAAAGTAAAACTTCTCTAATACTCGTCCAAATATGGCAAAACTTAGTGCAAAAATCGGCCCTTCAATTTTGAACGCCGACTTAGCACAGCTTTATACGGAATCGCAAAAATTATTGGATAATGGTGCAGATTATTTGCACTTGGACGTAATGGATGGTCACTTTGTACCTAATCTTACGTTTGGTCATCCCATTGTAAAATGTCTTCGTGGTAAAATAAAAGATGCTTTTTTCGAAACGCATATGATGGTATCTGATCCAGGACAGGTATGTATGTATGTATGTGTGTGTGTGTATGTATATATATAATATATATACACACATATATATAGCAAGAATATTTAATTAGGAAATATATAAAAATAAGTTTATTATAATAACATAGTGGATTGCACCTATGGCTGATGCAGGAGTAAATCAATATACATTTCATGTTGAGCCAGTAAAAGATGTTCCTCTGGTCTGTAGAAAAGTGAAAGAAGCAGGAATGAAGGTAACCAACTAAAAATTAACGTTTGTGACTTGAACCTATTATATAAATTAACTTAAACTAAAAAATAGGTTGGTGTGGCATTCAAACCAGGAACACCTGTGGATGTTGTTTGTGATTATGTAAATTTTGTTGATATGATCTTAGTGATGACTGTGGAACCTGGTTTTGGTGGTCAGAAGTTTATGGAGCCAATGTTACAAAAAGTAGCATGGTTGAGGGAAAATTACCCTTTATTGGACATTGAAGTTGATGGTGGAGTTGGACCTGCTACAATTGCTTCTTGTGCAAAGGTATATATGTTAAGTAATAAAGATTATAGTAAGTTTTATTACTAAATAATTTCACTAAAGGAATTTGACTTGTGTATACAGGATGTCCTACTTTAGAAGATGCACCTTGATAATTCTTCAGCCAAGCATATTCAGCAAAAATATTCCAGACAAAAGTTATATGGTTCGATGGAGGACATAAGAAGGTACCATTGGTTTGACTTTGCGTGGCGTCGCCAACGTCAGGTCGACTTTGCTTTTTTAAATAGAAACACTATTTTTTTATTAATTTTACTCTATGTAAAAAAACAAACTTTTGTTTAAAAATATTTTTTATACGACCTCTATTTTCTAAGATATTTATGGAAATATCTACAATATTATTGGTTTCAATAATTTTTTATTTGAATTCTATCAACTTTACCGAAAAATAGCAAGAAATAAAAATTGTTTATTTTTTCTCGTTGAGCTCTGAGAATTTTTCAGAATTTTTTAATTAACTTTTTAGTACTGCATTTTCTTAAAGTACTAAAAAGTTAATTAAAAAATTCTGAAAAAAATTCTCAGAGCTCAATGAAAAAAAATAAACAATTTTTATCTCTTGCTATTTTTCGGTAAAGTTCATAGAAATTGAGTAAAAAATTATTGAGTAAATTATTGAGTAAAAAATTATTGAAACCAATAATTTTATAAATATTTCCGTAAATATCTTAGAAAATAAAGGTCGTGTAAAAAAATTTTAAACAAAAGTTGTTTGTTTCTTTACATAGAATAAAATTCCATAATAAAAAAATGTTTCTATTTAAAAAAGCAAAGCTGATCTCGACCTGACGTTGACAGCGCCACGTAAGATCAAACCAGTGGTACCTTCTTATGTCCTCCATCGAACCATATAACTTATCTGAAATATTTTTGCTGAATATACTTAGCTGAAGAATTATCAAGGTGTATCTTTTAAAATAGGACACTATATTCAAGTTATCTGATTATATATTCATCATATTGTTTTTAGGCTGGTGCTAATATGATAGTGTCTGGTACAGCTATTATAGGTTCTACTGATCAAGCCAAAGTGATTACATCTCTGCGAGATACTGTAAATACTTACATTAATTAATTATATTAATTATTGGAAATATGACACTCAGGGTAATGATGACAATTAAGAACTATGCGAGTGCAAGTATTAAAAAAAAATAATTAACTTAAAAAAATGTATATTTAGAAAGATTCATGTATTTTTTAAACAATATGGTAATATTTAACATGATTTTAGAAACAAGATACATTAAACCTGTTCTTTTAACTTGCTGAGCTAAAATTTTGTTTCTTTCTCCATCAACATTAGATTATATATAAGTTCAGTTCTAAAAGTAAAAAATGCAAACTAGTTTAAATAAAAAGAACAGACCTAATCTGTATTTATCTATCTTGGCTATTGTTTCTTTAGGAAGTTATTTCTTTGTTGGTACCAATTTAGTTCTTAATTCAGCTAAAGTTATAAGAACTGCTTCTTCTGTTCTGATTGTCTGCGACCCTTGCTGAGGACATGTATTCAAATATGTATGAAATATCAATGATGGGTCGTCAATGTTCAAATTTTGGTCCATATCCACTATTGCTTCTAATCCAGCAAGACCTCCAAATACTATGAGACAGTGATGATATTTTAAACTTTTTGCTCCTATTTCATCAATTAATGTTCCCTTGTCAGATGTTCCAATTGTCAAGTCATATCCACCTTTATATTGACAATTGGTCAGCACTTCTGTTAGATTTTTGACCAACTTGACAGTATATCCCCAATATATACCAGTTTCTGCACGTGGTACATTGGGTGGCACTACAATGCCCTTCAATTTTTTTGGATTTGTTTGGTTAGGTGGTATTTTCACTGTCACTCTTAATCCAGGTGTTAGCATCTTATCAACATAGATATCATTCAGAAGTCCTACATTCACCTGTGAACCTTTGCCAACTTTGATGGGTTTGTTTGTAACTATCCCTTCCCGATATGGAAAATCATCCTCTTGTTTCAAGTGATGCGGTGCATTTAAAGGATTCAAAACACCTGCATATTGTAGATCTTTGTGGAGTGGAAAGAAATACTTTCTTAGGTACTGTGGGCACTCCATATATTGCAATATTCTGGCTAACTGGAGACACCCAACTCTGACTTCGCCAAGTACGTCGTCCCTCCTGATTTTTCTTTTTTCATCCGCCGTGACATCGCCCTTATCATCGAACACTATCACTTCGTCTACATTGTAAATGCATGCAGCACGCGCGATCTGTCCTGCTAGATATGTCCGCAGCTCCGGTGATTGTGCGTTATCAAGAATAGATCCAGGTACCGCTATACTCACTGTACATATATCTGGGCGCACATACTTTACATTTTCCATGTGCTCCTTCGTCTCATTCTTTGATTCCTTCTCTAGTTCCGCTTTTCTAGCTTTTTTGATTAACTTCTCTTCTTTCCATTGTTTTCGTAACTCTTTCTGCTTACGGTTGTGTTCCTTCCAATTTTTTACTTCGGATTTTGCGGCAGACATAACTTGTTTCCTGAAGATGGCCGGATATCAACAAATGAATATCGATAATGTTCCCGAAATGATATTTTATTTGCAGAAATATTTTTTTAGAATCGTAAGTTCGAAAAAGTTTCACACAATCTTGTTTTAACTTCAAAATACTACTCTACTACTACTCTCTATATTTTACTTGGCTTCCAGGCTTTACTCGTTAGCCCTTTCAACTAAAATATCGAAGTACAAATTCCAAAAAATCAGGAACGTGTTCGGATGACGTATTAAAATACATTTTAACGTAACGGCAATTAGGCCGGAATTCTAACCTCAAAATATTTTTTTATATTACACAACGATGTTTATTTTTCAAGCGTGCGTTCAGATTCCCTACCCTTGTCCACTCTAATACTAGAAACGCTATAATATATGTAACAGGAACGTCCTGATTGACCACGGTACGATTGGACACAACCAACCAATGAAAAGAATTGTCTAGTGAATTACTAGGTCGAACCAATCATTACAATCTGTGTCCAATCGTATCGTGGTTAATCGAGTCCACCCATATGTAACATAGACTAATGGCTCTTGCACACAAGGGGTGCGTTCGAAAACATCACCCGTGTGTATTTTGTCACACTCAGATCGTTCGAAAACCCCTAGTGGGCACACTGATGTAACGTCCGGATCTATTTTAGAACATTAACAATATATTATTATAGACCGGGAGGCCGACTTGTCTGATTTCAGACATCACTAGATATTATATCCCTATGTTACTAGATGTAAGTACGTGCGCATATGCATATTCGCGAGCGTTAAAACATTATAATTAAAATGCCGAATGCTGCGTGCTGCTGGAGAGTCTCGAAATCGACGGATCTCGGATCGACCCAAAGAAACCGCTATCGCTCAGTGCGATAAGCCAACATAAACAGGAGCATGAAAGCTGAATCCTAAACACCACTCAGGACACCGACGCGGTGACATCATGCAAAGGAATGAATCTCTTCCCTCGCCATAACTCCATGGACCAATCGGAGAACGACTC